TTTAGGGTTCAGGGTTTAGGGAAATCTCGGCCTGTCTGCAGAGTTGGGATCCAGGTTCGCTCCGAGGAGCAGCTCCGCCACGGCGAAGTAGCCTTTCTCCTCGGCCGAGGTTTAGGGGTCTGGGGTTTGGGGTTTAGGGTTTGGGGCTTAGGATAAAGTGTACTATAAGTACAAGGAAACTACAGGTGGAGAGTTTAGGGTATATACGGCTTCTATAAGGCTTCCATAAGGAAAAAAGACTTATATAGACCTTCTATAAGGCTCCCATAACGGTAACTACCCACCTGAAACTGTCCTAGACTGAGGTTGTGGCATAAAGTGTGCCATAAGGGTTCCTTGCGGGCGTTAGGCTTACTGGGGTTTACGGTTTAGCTCAGGGTTTTAGGCTGCAGGTTTCAGAAAGGGCTCTGTAAGTGTTCTTGAAAGCTTTGCAGAAAGGCTGTATAAGCTTCCTAAAACGCTTTCACGAAGGCTCTCTAAGAAGTTCATGTCCTTAACCCTGAACCCTAAACCTAAACCCTTACCCTAAAACCCGATTATAAGCCCTATAGGCCCTGTAGAGTCTGAAAAGCCCTGAAATTGAAGAGCCGTCCAAAGGACCTCAAACCCTAAGCCATCTCAAACCCTAAACTCTGTAGATGCTTGAAAACTAACCCCTCCACCATCTCAGACCCTCAACCTTGTGAATTGTGGAGCTTTTCCTGTTAAATCAACCCCAAACCCTACAGAGCCAGATTTAAACCCTGAACCGCCACCCGAGCTGCTGCGGCAGCGTAGAGACAGCTGCGCCCAAACTTGTCCTTCGGAGTTCTCGTTGCTAGGGGTTTTCCAGGCTTTATATACCCCTTATAGCTCGAAGAAGAGATCTTCATTTTCAGGGGGGTCCCTAAACAAAACAACCAACACCGTTCAAGAATAAACTTCGGCGCATACTCCGTCGTCAAGGGGGGTATGAAGCCCCCGTGGCGAGGCAAGGAGCCCTCTGTTGAGGTTAAAGGGTATGTTCCTTTCATGTAGGGGCCTCAATGTTTAGAATATATAGGGTTTTGGGGGTTCCGTACTATGATATATAGGGTTTTGGGGTTTCCGTATTACAATATATGGGGTTTTGGTGGTTCCGTGTTAAAATATGTAGTAATTAGAATAGGTCTTGGGGGTTCCTTGGTATAATATGTTGTGTCATATACCCCCCAAACCCTATTCTGGTTATTGAGGCCCCTATATTAAGTCAGGCGTGCTGGGCTCTGTACGTGGCGGGTTGCTGGGTCGAAGCTCAAGATAGCTCCTGGAATTTCTCCTTACTTAATATAGACGCCTAAACATTACCTATACTATTTTGGGGGGTTCCTTGTTGTAAACAATGGTACAGAGGGCCCCAAAACCCTGTTCTATTTATTAAGGCCCCTACATTAGGGTTTAGGGCCTCGGTTTAACGTCGAGGGTAGCAATACACCGACAAACAAACTGAAGATCCCTCGTAGTACTTCAGGAGACACTCCTTACCCAGAGACTCCAATATCCCCTAATTAAGGGATATACCTTAAATTATAGTAGGATCCCTAATATGATTTAAGGTATCTTCCTCCCCTAAACCCTAAACCCTAAACCCTAAACCCTAAACCCTAAACCCTAAACCCTAAACCCTAAACCCTAAACCGTGCCGGAGTCTCCGGGTACTTGAGGGGTGCCGGGCTCTCCGCTGTACGTTTCATGCTCTCTTCGCCTGACGTCACTAGTTCGTGTTGCGAAAACCAACAACCCGAAATTCGAAACAAAGCTTCACATTGGGTTTTTTTTTTTTAAGGGCCTTTTTCGGTGCTTGCGCTTCGAAGCCCATGTTGGGCAGGCTATCGGTATACCCACTACGTCTCAGATGTTGTTCGACTGCGACTTCTTCATGGCCCGGGACTATTGGGTTTAGGGTTTAGGGTTTAGGGTTTAGGGTTTAGGGTTTAGGGTTTAGGGTTTAGGGTTTAGGGTTTAGAGTCCTCGGCAAAGGCATTAGGATTTAGGACGTACTCTCAATTAAGGGTGCATACTTGCACCCCGAAGGCTAAAGCCGTCACATCTGCAAGCCAGGGCAGCCATGAGATTCAGGTGCAGGCCCGCGATCTCGACGTCCTGTAGTCTCTGGCCGAGGCTCTGCTTTGTCACGGCTGTGCCGGCATGCGTGCAAAAGTACCCAAAGACTCCAATATCCCTTAATTAAGGAATACATTAGGTCATATTAGGGATCCTACGATAATTTAAGGTATATCCCTTAATTAAGGGGTATTGGAGTCTCTGGGCAAACACAACCGCCATGCAGATGCCACGGACAAGGCGTCGGTCCTCATCATCAATGCCTTCCTCCTCGTACTGCTCGAACACGGATCGCACACGCCACCATGCATCGTTCTGGGTGGATGTTGAGAACAGGCCATAATCTCCGTTGTGGCCGTTAGGGCCCGCCTTGAAGTAGCCATCCTGTAAGATTTGCATGGCGGCCCTAGACGAGGTCCCATGGAATCGCAGCTTCGCCTCTGCACCCCATCCAGATGATCCCCAGAGACTCCGATATCCCTTAATTAAGGGATATACCTTTAGTTATAGTAGGATCCCTAATATGATTTAAGGTATATTCATGTACATTCGTTAATGAAGGGATATTGGAGTCGCTGGGTCCGTGGTGATGTAAGGCCCAAGCGAGCCAAGTTGCCCCCCAGCAGTGCCATGTCTGAGTAGTGCGACAGCCAGGGAAACAGGGTTTAGGGTTTAGGGTTTAGGGTACCGTTTTAACCGAAGAGAACCGAACACCGAAACCCTAAACCCTACTTAGGATGCTTCGTAAGAGCTTCTTAGACTTAGGGTTGACAGACGATACGGGTAGTTCTCTAAATTGGGGGAAGGCCGTTTTGTAGGGCTTCCTGAGAGGGATCTATAAGGGTCTCTATATAGGGTTTCTACAAGGGAACAAAAAGGGTAGTTCTCGAAACTTTTTATAGTCCTTTTTACAAGGGTGCGGCACCATTTTGGGGACCTAAAAGAGACCGATTAAGAGAACTACCCATAAGCTATACACGGATGCAAGGAAAAACCGCGAGGGAGAACACCCCTGCATCCCGAAAAGAGGCTGTGACTGCTAAAAAGCCTGTTGCAGTCCCCGAGATATTTACACTGTAAAATAGCGAAAACCTAGTCTTGTTTTTAGGCCTCTATTGCATCCCCACTGCCCACCCCGGCTCCCGAAGCTGTGCCCGCGCAATCGACAGCCCTAAAACCCCAAAGCGCGACAAAACCCAGCAGACAACGAAACCGTAAATACTGCAACATCAGAAGTCCGAGGCCTAGAACTCTTTTGAATCCCTAGCCCTTGACCCGTAAAACGGTGAAGCCGTGCGAAGTTAAACCCTTACGGAGCCCTTTTGGCAGCCCATTGTCGAAGCTTTTATACACCCTTGCAACCCCAGGCTCTAAATTCAACCCAAGACCTTAAACCCCGAAAGCCCGGGACCCCGGTAAACCCCCTAAGGAATCCTGAAAGACAAAAATCCACCAAAACTCTAATTACTGTACACCGGAAACCCTAATGAATGCCCTTTTAACTTTTAAAGCCCTGCAAACCCTTAAGACGAAGAACCTCGAAAACCATTCAACCCCCGAACTCAAATTCAATATCGGACCCTTGGGTTTTTTCTTACAAGCCCCTTAAAGGATCCCCTGAAGGAGCCCCTTAGGGGAAGCCCTTACAGGAACTCTCTTGGATGCTTTAGTCCGTGGAGTTCTTCGTGGCATCATTCAGCAGGAGGCGAACCACCTACTGTGGGGGCCCTAAAAATTAGAATAGGGTTTTGGTGTATACGATGGTGCAAAGACTAATTTAGGGACTACAAGGGAATAAGATTGCTAATTATTCACGCTTCGCTTCTGTATACTGCGTGGCGCACCAACGCAGCGCTTGGAGGGCGTTCAGGGTTTAGGGTTGCAAAAAGGGCAGGCAAAAGGTTCTATACAGTCTCTACTAGGGGTTCCACTTAGGGGCGCTGTGAGGATTTCTCAGGATCTTAAAAGGTTTGTATAGGGGTTTTCTGTACTTCGGCATGACTGAGGCTTGCAAACAAGGACGTGCTGGGTGCATGTGAGGGTTTAAGTTTAGGGTTTCAGCAGAATTTACCCTAAACCCTAAACCCTAAACCCTAAACCTTCAAGGTTCAGCATGATGGCCCTCAGACGGACTTGGGATGCATAGGCTGGAGCGCTTGGGCTGCGGGAATTAGGCAGGGTGCAGGAGGGGAGGGGAGAACCAAACAAAGCCCGAGGCCGGCTGTAATTATGAAGGGAAGCCGGTCTGTCCATTTGGGGGTTTCAGAAAATAGGGGACCCTAATATAGTACCCTAAATAGTAGGATCCTTATTATAGGGACCCCCAAATAGGATACCCTAATTTTCCGAAACTCCCATTTTGCCTTTGGCAAACCTTAAACCCTAAAGCCGACGTGTTGGTCTAGGAGTCTAGGGGACTTTTTAAGAAGGGATAGAATTTTGGTGTAACCCCAAGTGGCTGCTTGAAACACCGACTCCACAGTCCTACTATGCCACATGATCGGTTTAGGGTTTAAGTGTTCAGGGTTCAGCATTTAGGGTTTCAGTGCATTTTTTTGCTGAAGCTTTCAGGGTTTCAGGGTAACCCTAAATTCTGAACCCTAAACCCTAAACCGTGGATCCAGCTTCGGGGGCTCAACAATCGCAACCTTGAACCCCTACAACCCCCGACGGGTAGACGACGGAACCTGAGATCTTTAGACCCAACCTCTTACCAAGGGGTCATTGACGGTCTAGGGTTTACGGGTTCAGGGGTTCGGGTTTAGGGTTTAGGGGTTTAGGGTTTAGGGTTTAGGGTTTAGGGTAGGTATATACTACTATTGTGGAACTAGGTGTGGCTCCAAAACCAGTGGGATGGTCTTCGGGGACCTTCCATAACGGCAGTAGAAACGGACCCTCTGGGTTGACTCCTAACTTGTGAACCCAATCCTAAAGCCCCTAAACCCTAAACCCTAAACCCGAAGCCCTAAACCCTATCTCCAAACCCCCAAACCCTAAACCCTAAGCCAAATAGCCGCAACCCTTTCTCCGAAGCCCTAAACCATGAACCTTTCAGCCCTAAACTTTGAAACCCCCTACTGACTGAACCTCTACTGTAGGGGCCTTAATAATCAGAGTAGGGTTTTGGGGATTCCTTATTATAATCATAGTACAATATACCCCCAAACCCTATTCTAATTTTTTAAGCCCCTATATTACATGAACCCAAAAACCCGCAAAGCCCTAAACTCTAAACCCCAAGCCCTAAAAGCAACCCTTATAGTAACACTTGTAGTAACCCCTTATCGTAGCCCCTTAAAGATCTCTTGAACGAACCCAAAACCCTAAACTCCAAACCCTAAGCCCTACACCCCA